TTTTTTTTTTTTAAGACAGAGTCTTGCGCTGTCACCCAGCCTAGAGTGCTGTGGTCTCAGCCTAACTCACAGCAACCTCAAATTCCTGGACTCAAGTGATCCTACTGCTTTAGCCTCCTGAGTAGCTGGGACTATAGGTGCCAGCCACAACACCAGCTAATTGTTCTAATTTTAGTAGACTTCTTTTTGGTCTGACCTTATATTCTTGATTAAGTAGGCCTGGGCCAGGTTCAAACCTGCCACCCCTGGTGCACAGGCCAGCATGCTAACCACTGATAAATAGGCACCCAGCCTTTAGTCTCATTCTTGCTCAGGCTGGTCTTAAACTCCTGAGCTTAAGGGATCCTCCAGTGCCTGGACAGTTACTAGCATTATTTATTTGTTTATTTATTTTTGAGACAAGAGTCTCACTTTATCGCCCCCAGTAGAGCAATGTGGAGTCATAGCTCACAGCAACCTCAGACTCTTGGGCTTAAGTGATTCTCTTTCTCTCTCTTTTTTTTTTAGAGACAGTTTCATTTTATCTCCCTTGGTAGAGTACTATGGCGTCACAGCTCATAGCAACCTTCAACTCTTGGGCTTAGGAGATTAGGCAATTCTTTTGCCTCAGCCTCCCAAGTAGCTGGGACTATAGGTGCCCACCACAATGCCCGGCTATTTTTTTTTTTTTTTTTTTGGTTGCAGTTTGGCCAGGGCCAGGTTTGAACCCACCACCTTCGGTATATGGGGCCAGCGCCCTACACAATGAGCCACAGGCACTGCCCTCAAGTGATTCTCTTGAATCAGCCTCCAAATAGCTTGGAACAGGGGCCCACCACAAGCCTGGCTATTTTTAGAGACAGGGTTTCTCTCTAGCTCAGGCTGGTCTCTAACCTGTGAGTTTATGTGATCTGCCCGTCTTGGCCTCCCAGAATGCTGGGATTACAGGTGTGAGCCACCCACCACACCTGGCCTCGGTTTCTAGCATTTTAAAGCATCCACATTTTGCTTTTGGATTGTTTCTATTAATGGAAATACCTGATGTGAAAACAATAGCAGACATTCATGGATCACTTGCTAGCTGATGATGCTATTTTTTTGGTTTTTTTTTTTGAGACAGAGTCTCACTATGTCACCCCTGGTAGAGTATTGTGGTGTCACAGCTCACAGCAACCTGAAACTCTTGGCCTTAAGCGATTCTCTTGCGTAAGCCTCCCAAATAGCTGGGGCTACAGGCTCCCGCCACAACGCCCGGCTGGTTTTTTTGTTGTTGTTGTTGTTGTTATTGTTATTGTTATTTGTTATTGTTGTTTAGCAGGGCTGGGTGGGTTCGAACCCACCAGCCCCGGTGTATGTGGCCGGCACCCAAGCCTCTGAGCTACAGGCGCCAAGCCTGATGATGCTGTTTTTATTTCATTTTATAGCTGAAGAAACTGAGATTTAGTTTAAGTAATTTTGGCAAAGATCACAAAGCTGGAGAGAGCTGACTTTTGAAACAAATCCGGTTTGGTCCACAGTTTACTCTCACTATCATGCTAGTCTACCTCCCTGATGGTAATAATAATAGTAATAATAACACTATTAATTATAGTATTTAATTCTTATGCCAACGCTGTGAGATAAGAACAATCGTTTTTCCAATGAGGAAACAGATGCTTAGGGAGGTAACATACTAGTGAGCAGTGGAGTTGGGACTTAAACTCAGTCACTCTAACCGTTGTCTCTCATCTTACACTTAACAAGAAATTGTGCATTTAGTGTAAAGCATTGTCTCCCTTTTTTTTGAGACACAATCTCACTCTGTTGTCCTGGGTAGAATGTCGTGGCCTCAGTCTACCTCACAGCAACCTCAAACTCCTGGGCTCCAGGGATCCTTCTGCCTTAGCCTCCTGAGTAGCTGTGACTACCGCAATGCCTGCCTGATTTTCCTTTTTTTTTTTTTTGAGACGGAGTCTCACTATGTCGCCCTCTGTAGAGTGAGTGGCGTCACAGCTCACAGCAACCTCCAGCTCTTGGGCTTAAGCGATTCTCTTGCCTCAGCCTCCCTAGTAGCTGGGACTATAGGTGCCTACCACAGTGCCTGACTATTTTTGTTGTTATTGTAGCTGTCATTATTTGGCAGGCCCTGGACTGGGTTCGAACCCGCCAGCTCTAGGGTATGTGGCTCACACCCTAGCCACTGAACTACAGGCACCGAGCCTTGATTTTTCTATTTTTAGTAGAGATGGGGTCTTGTTCTTGCTCAGGCTGTTCTAAATGCCTGAACTTAGAGATCCTCCCATTTTGGTCTCTCAGAGTGCTAGGATTACAGGTGTGAGCCCCTGTGCCATGATCGAACATGAATAAATGAAAAGATAATTGAGCAGATGTTATTACCGTTAGTTAATATGAAGGATAAGAACTTGCTTTTATCCTTTCAGTATGGAACAAAAGTGGAACTTTTAAAATGTTGCCCTGTAAGAAGAGAAGAACTACAGTGACAGAGTCCCCACAGCATAAGGAACACCAGGAGGAAGACAACATAAACCTAGAAGCAGCTGCTAAGCAAGAATCTGACCAGGTTAAAGACTTGGAGTCAGTGTCACTATCCTGGAGTCCAAGTCGTGGCAGAGTTGCAGACTTTGAAGTACAATCTGTGCAGGATACAGGAAATGAGCTTGGTATGGAGGACACATCTGTGAACCCCACGATGCTCATGCAGGACACCAATGTACCAGTTTTGGAATCTGTGGACGTGGCCATCTCTCAGGGAATTACCCTACCTTCCTCGGAACCTTCCTACCCCCTTAACATACACATTGGTAAAGGAAAACTCCAGGTCACTGGCTCAAGGAGAGGGAAGAAAATTGCACTCAGGCCTGGGCCAGTTACCCAAGAAGACAGAAGTGATCATGCTATTGTAAAGAGGCCATTTTCAGGAGAGCCAAATGAGGGAGTGAAGGGAGAAGGAGGTAAGATCTGAAAGGTGTCTAGGTTACATTTTATTTGTCAATCCCATGTTGCCATTAGTTTCTCTGTAGTGCCTTTACAGAGTAGTATTTCTGAAAGAGGTTGTGGTTTCTTATGGAATTGAAACTGCAAAAAAAAAAAAAAAGCAAACAAAAAACTACAGGGCTCAAAAGGGTCAACAGTGAACTTTATGAATGGGTAGAGACTTTCTTTTCCTCTTTCATTCCCTCGATCTTCTTCTGTATTCCTTTGGTTTTTTTTTTTGTT